CCCCCCGGCGGAAAGGCCCAGGGCGCATGCGCTCCTCCGCCGCCGGCTACCGCTGTTAAACCTTCTAGATGCCAGGGCGCCTGCGCAAGGCCGCCCCGCAGCAGGTGGCACCCACACGGCTCCGCCCCCGAGTCACCTTAACCCACTCGGTGCCAGAGCCGGTAAGCTACAGCGCAACCCTGAAGGAGCAAGACTTCTGCCCCCGCCGAGTCACTTCCCTTCCCCTTCCACCAAACCAAGGCATTTGGGGGGTCGGGGGAGAATCTCCCTCCAGCATGAAGTACCCCAAATAGAGGACCTGGTCTTGAGATATTTGGGAATCTGGTCCAAACTCTGCAGGGTTAGGTAAATTACAGATGCATTTGTTCATTGATTGAATCCGCTGAGCACAGTGCTAGATATATATGGAAGGTAAGAGGACTAACAGAAATCCTGGCCCTCAAGGAATTCACGGTCTACGGGAGTGGAAGAAAAGTAAACAAATAATGCATCAAGTATTGCTAGAATTATTTGGGGAATCGCTGAGCAAGCTAAAGGGATGGGGGTGGGGGGGCATCTCAGAAAAGCCTTCCCAGAGAAGATGCTGCGGTGATATCTAAGCCGAGTCTTGGGGACGAGTAGGAGTTCGCCAGACAGAGAAGCGGGGGTGAGGCGTTCCAGGCGAAGGGAACAGCAGCACGTACAAAACGTACGAAGGCACGGAGGTGTGGAGGTGAGAGCCGGGTTCCGGGTAATGCTAAGTAGTTGATTCCTGTACTAGGCGGGGCGAGGGCGGAGTGCGGGGGGTGGGGTGGAGTGACAGGAGATGGTGCTTGGAGAAGTAACTCATTTTTCTGTTCCAAAAGCTCTTTCCAATTAAAGGAGAGAACAGAACGTGTCTAATGGTAATGGGCTCTCCGGAAGCCAACAAAATAACGCTCAAGTAGAATAAGCAAACGTCTAATTCTAGAGAAAACAAGCCCATCGAAATAAGGAAAATGAATTTTCTTTCACTATTTATTGAGGGTCAACTGCACGCAAGGAGCTGTGCAGGGGAATAGATGGACCTCACAAAGCCTGTTTTCAGCAGTTTATCATCTAGAGGAGAGTTGCCTAGACTGAAGGCAAAACAGGCCCAGCGAACTATGTACAGGACTGTGGAGGAGGGAACCAATTACTTGATGCTCAAATAATCAGGGTGGATTAGGTGTTTGGACTGCAATGTGGAAGCAGGGAAGGAGAGTGATGGAATCCGGCAATATTTCAGATGCCCCAGAGTTTAGGATTTAGAGGGAGGAGTAATGAGGGACAAGGCCAATATCTACGGCTTAGGTTTCAGTGGCAAGTGATGTGCAACCTCTGAGGGTTTTTGAGCAGATATCTGGTATGAGGTTAAAAGAACAAGAGGACTTTTACCTACCACTCGATGTGTACCAAAGTAACAGTCATTCTACAGGGTAGATCACTTCCCCATTTTACAGACTCGGAAACTGAGGCTTAGAGCGGTTAGTATCTTACCCAGGGGAACCCAAATATAGTAGACCCAAGATTTAAACGGATACCTTCCTTGTTCTAAAACCCATATATGCCCTCCTCCCCCCCCCCCACTCCCCCCGACACATACTCTATGATACTTTGTTCTAGAATGGTGGCCAGAAAAAAATAAAAATGAAAGGGAAAGACTTAGTTGCTGAGCAGAGAGGAGGGGGGAGTGAGGGAAGAGTTGCAATTCTTTGTTTTGAGAACAAGAAACTTGTTGGTTGGGAGTAGCTGATTGGGCGGGAGGTGAAGGGTGGTTTACAGGGAAGGGGCAGGTGAGGAGGTGATGATGACCACCTTGTGGAAATATAGAGTTGATCGTTCCAGGAGACATGCAGGTAGAAATATCCAGTATGCTGCGGAAAAGCTCCCTGCTTCCATTCATTCCCAACAAACATTAACTGAGCATCTGCTCTGCAGACAGCAGGATAACCTGCCACAGCTCTTGCAGCCTGCAGGGGAAGACACACCTCTCAGAAGATGACACTCCTAGTACTGGCAGCTTTGAGAGGGCACAGTAGGGGATCTGCCCTAGTCCAGGATCAGGGAAGAGAGAGGAGGGAGGTTTAAGCTGAGATCCTGGTGAGGCTGAGAAGGAAAGGGTGTTCCAGGAGAGATACTTATCAAGGATAATGTCTCAAGTCCTTTGCAAGACCCTTATGGATCTGGCCTCTGCCTGCCAGCCCTACCCTACAGTCTCCAGCCAGCTCACTCTCCCCCGAAACTAAACCACTGTGGTTTCCTGAAGGGGCCACAAGCTCTTGAGTGTCCATATCTTTGCATATGCAGTTTCCTCTGCTCAGTCGGCCTTTGTCCCTTTCTTTGGGCCCCCAAGTCAGTTTTAGGGTTTCTTTCCCCAAATTCCCACTGTACCTCCAATCTCATTGCAGCATTGTTGATGCCCCACTGCCTCCCACCCCGTGCTCTGCAAGCTGCAGAACAACAGGACTACGCCTTTTCACAATTGTAGTCCCAGCCCAAGCGCAGTGCATGGAGTGAATACATGGGTGGATGGATGGGAGGACAAATAAATAACAGAGGTTGACAAGAGATAAAGGCATGGCTGCCTCTCTGTGCAACGTGATATTTGAAGCTAAGGAAGTGGGTGAGATCTCAGAAGAGACTAGATGCCTAAGAGAACAGAAAACAAAAAAAAAAAGTATGCACTTCCTTTTAAAATGCAACACTGATAAAACAGACTCTGAGAATGTCTCTGAAAAATACGTGCATATGGGCCAGATTTGGAAGGGGAACATTTAAAAGTAAAAATAGGAATTGTGTTGAAATAAAACAATTGTGGGTGACCAAAAAAAAAAAAAAAAAAAAAAAAACCACAACAACAAAAACAACCACACAACAACCACCCTTCAACATTTGTGACATTGTCTTTCTGATTAAAAAAATTCTTTTCTACAGACACAGATTCAGCAACTTGAGAGAACGCTGCCCAGAATCATTTTGTGCAGAGAAAAAAGCCACGCTAGTGACAGTAGGATTTTGAATGTGTGTGTGACTGATGTTAAAGAGCAAACAGAAATTGGAGCAACAGGCAAGTTGTGAAGTAAAAGTTACCCTGGTGTGAAAACCTGCCGTAACTGTAGCAAAATTTGCTAGTGACAAACTGCTACCTCAGTTACTCCGGATGCACAAATTAATCACCACCCGTCCCTCCTTTCGGTTGGGGCTTACGGTTGTTTTTAATCAAAAAGGGTTTCCGTGCTTTGCTTTTGGTGAGTTGTGGTGCTACCACCTGCTGGTAAGAACTGGGCATTGCCCTGGCATGTACTGAACCTTGAAAGCCCACAAGAAACTAGCCTAACTGTTGACCCCCTCCCTTGGGAGCTGCCCAAGACCACCTCTGGCGCATCCTCGGAGCCCACATTTCTGAGTTTCCCTTTTGGGGGGAAGAACCAGAGAGCCAGCGACAACCTAAACTTGGTCCTTTGAAATTCTACTCCCACCTGCTCAACTCATCTTGGAAGTTTTCGTCTTAGAATTTCTTTGGCTCAAGTTGTGAGCCAAGACTGCATCCACCTCTCGGGCTTCAGGGTGGCCTCTGCTGCTGAGCCTTCCCTTCCTCTGGCTCTTGACTCCGTCTTCATCACCGGGTCAGGCCCACACACCATCCTTCCTTGGGGGCTGCCTACTGATCATCCCCCCGCGG